CCTCACCCAAGTTTGATGGAAATGCTCAGAGCCTGGCGTGTCAATTTCACTGTTGAAGCTGGAGAATAACTCTCGACATAGAGTCTCATAGACTGGATGTGGTCGCTCCACCAACTTTTGCCACCCACAGATCTAAACTAAGTTGACCAACTCAAAACCCGTGAAGTCATCAAGCTTAACGGGTCTTTCAGCATGTAAAGTCCAATGGCGTACGATATTCTTATATCGTGCCACGGTATTTGCAGTTAAGAATAGTTGAACCTCCCCCGCAAGCTCTTGAGTACAGGCTGTCCCGGTTGAGGAGCTTGCTTTTTTTTCCCGTGCAAAGCTCTGTCCCGGTTGAGGAGCTTGCCTTTTTTTTCCCGTGCAAAGCTCTTTTAGGAGGCATCCTGCAAAGTTTGTAAAATTACACTCATTAAATTCGATGTGAAAAGAATAGGCATGAAGTGAGAAAATAAAATATGCATTGCACAAATCCCCCAAACTTTCCTAGATGCATGTGTAACACCTTGGTGTGCAATAGTCAAGATATGATATTCAATTTAATTCAAATATTCCGCCAATATGAATTATGGAGAAGACTCGGTGTAAACATGCAATTTTTAAGAAATTGGATCCATGACCGAGTGCGCACTTTCGGCCCTTGACATCATCGAGAATTATCAAAATTTCCCGGGCAATTTTCGGGCATATCAAAGTATTCATTGAAATGTAGTATATACTCGAATTTCAACCCAATTGGATGTCGTTTGGTGTGTCAAATGAAGATGCAAAGTAGGGGACGTAGGGTGCCATGATGTGTAGCGATCTAATCATGTGCCTATGTGTTGTAATGTGAAAGTGGGTGTTTTCTAAGTTAATTCATGTGGAAATTCGTTAAAATATATTTAGAACCATGTTTGTGAATCATTATATTTGTAAAAAGCACCTAATTGTACACAAATGGTTATTGTGGCATTTCATCAAACACGTGGTGTGCATTATGTGAAAGTAGTCCCAAGTTAGTGAAATAAAATTCCAATTCCAATTCATCCCAAAATTCACACAACACAATCACAACAAATCCATCCCTATATGAACTAGCTTATTCTCCCTCAATTCATGAAAAAATGAATTCCAAAACGAATTACCCAAAAAGAGGAAATCGAGAGAAATGTGAGAAGTAATACCTTACCTTGAGGTGGTTGGCTTGATGTACGGGATGAATATTGTGGAGTGCAAAAGTGATTTCATGGGATGAATTGGTGGGTGAAATTAACCTAAGAATGCGTGAGAGATTTAGGGAAGAAAGGAGAGAAAAAATTTGGATGGGAGGAAGGAACCGGGTGTGATTTAAAAAAACCACACCCGATTCTGCCATGCGACCGCATGGCTTTGTTTCGTGCGGCCGTATGGTTCAAGTGGCATTGGCCACTTGAATCTCGGTTGCAATGCGTGCGGTCGCACCATGCGAACGCATAATCTAAATTATTTTTAAAAAAAAATTTTTATTTCCCCAAAAACACAAGTTTGATTAAATTTCACAATCATGCATTGACATTTGAAATTTTGAGAATAAACGTTTGCCTCGAAATGCGTGAACATCACACCCAATCACCCAAAAATAACTCCAATTAACCCGAACGTGTGTGTGATGCTTAGGGACTCGTGTGGACAGCGCTTGGACTCTTTTAACATGCATGAATGATCAATGACCTAAATTAAAAAAAATTGAAAAATTCCTACTATAATGCAAAAGTAAATTAACTTAAAAGGATACAGTGAGTTGTCTCCCATCCAGCGCTAGGTTATAGTCAATAGCTTGACTTTTCTGCAGCTGCTTTATTCTAGTGTCCCGAGTTGAACGATGGACTTTTGGTTGGAGAAGTCACCACCCCAGTAGTGTTTCAGCCTTTGCCCATTAACAGTGAAAGTACCTTTAGTCTCATGGCTGACTTGTATAACTCTGTATGGTAAGACTTTTGTGACAGTGTAAGGACCCGACCACCGTGACCATAGTTTTTCTGGGAACAGCTTGAGTCTCGAGTTATACAGTAGCACTTGCTGCCCCACTTCGAATACTCGTCTCTGAATGTGCATGTCATGCCACTTCTTGGTTCGTTCCTTATAGAGTTTTGAATTTTCATAAGCTTCCATTCTAAATTCATCTAAGTCATTCAGTTACAGTAGACACTTTTCACCAGCGACACTCAAGTCTATATTTAACTGTTTCAAAGCCCAATATGCCCGGTGCTCCATTTCTAGTGGCAGATGGCACGCTTTCCCAAAAATTAGGCGGTATGGAGACATGCCTATCGGTGTCTTGAATGCTGTCCAGTAAGCCCATAATACATCGTCTAACTTTTTAGACCAGTCCTTTCTAGATGAGTTCACTGTGACTTCAAGTATTCACTTCAACTGTCGATTAGATACTTCAACTTGCCCGCTGGTTTGTGGATGATATGGAGTACGGCACTGTGTTTAACGCCATATTTATTCAACAGCTGCTCAAACTGGCGATTACAGAAGTGTTTGCCCCCGTCACTGATTATAGCTCGCGGTGTACCATATCGGATGAAAATATATTTTTTCAAGAACCTAATTACTGTCTTTGAATCATTTGTTGGTAGTGCAACTGCTTCCACCCATTTTGATACGTAATCCACTGCTACCAAGATGTACTGATTTGAGAACGACGGGGGGAAGGGTCCCATGAAGTCAATTCCCAAAACATCGAATATCTCCACCTCCAAAATATTATTCAGTGGCATTTCATTCCTCCTCGAGATGTTCCCAGTGCGTTGACATCGGTCACACCTTTTGACAAACTCAAAAGCGTCTCTAAATAGTGTAGGCCAGTAGAACCCTGATTGTAGAATCTTTGCATCTGTTTTCGAAGCCCCAAAGTGTCCTGCATATGCAGATGAGTGGCAGTGCTCGAGAATCTCATGTACTTCTTCCTCAGGTATGCATCTCCTTACTATCTGATCAGCCCCTCGCCTATAGAGAATTGGATCGTCCCAAAAATAATACTTCAATTCGACGAAGAATTTTTTTCTCTGATGACTTGAGTAGTCCGATGGTGGGATGGAACTGGCCAAGTAATTGACGATATCTGCATACCAAGGTGCTTTATCCACTCTTAGCATCTGCTCATCTAGGAAGATCTCATTTATATCCACTAAATCTTCCATCTCCCTAGGCTCTAATCGAGATAGGTGATCTGCTATTACATTCTCACTGCCCCTCTTGTCTCGTATCTCGATATCAAATTCTTGCAGCAATAGCACCCAACAAATTAATCTCGGCTTTGCATCCTTCTTTGTGAGCAGATACTTCAATGCAGCATGATCAGTGTAGACGATGACTTTAGACCGGACAATGTATGACCTGAATTTGTCGAATGCATATACCACGGCCAATAGCTCCTTTTCAGTGGTGGCATAATTGATTTGCGCATCATTTAGAGTCCTACTTGCATAGTAGATCACATGAAAAATCTTGTTCCTCCACTGTCCTAATACTGCACCTACGGCGTGATCACTTGCATCACACATCAATTCAAAAGGCAGTTCCCAGTCTGGTGCCACAATTACTGGTGTTGTTGTAAGCTTCTCCTTTAAAGTGTTGAATATTGTGAGACATTCCTCATTAAATTCAAAGGTTACGTCTTTCATTAGCAGATTGCACAACGGTTTAGTGACCTTCGAGAATTTTTTTATAAATCTCCTGTAGAACCCCGTATGCCCCAAGAAACTACGAACTCCTTTAACTGATGTAGGTGGTGGTAACTTCTCAATAACTTGAATTTTTTCCTTGTCCACCTCAATTCCTTTTGTCAAGATCCGATACCCGAATACAATGCCTTCCTGCACCATAAAGTGGCATTTCTCCTAATTTAAAACCAGGTTAGTCTCCTTGCATCTCTGTAAGACCAAATTCAGGTGCTCTAGATATTCATCAAATGAAGATCCAAACACGGAGAAGTCGTCCATGAAAACTTCAATAAACCTTTCGATCATATCGGAGAATATTGCCATCATACATCTCTGAATGTGGCTAGAGCGTTGCAAAGACCAAAAAGGCATCTTACGATAGGTAAAAGTACCATAGGGGCAGGTGAAAGTGGTCTTCTCCTGATCTTCTGGTGCGATAGGTATCTGATTATAGCTCGAGTATCCATCAAAGAAACAGTAGTGTGAATGTCCAGCCAATCTCTCTAACATCTGATCAATGAATGGGAGGGGGAAATGATCCTTTCGTGTAGCTGCATTGAGTTTGCGATAGTTGATGCAAACTCTCCATCCCGTAACTGTTCTGGTGGGAATTAATTCATTCTTCTCATTTTTCACCACTGTGATTCCCCCTTTTTTCAGTACCACTTGAATTGGACTGATCCATGCACTATATGAAATTGGGTAGATAAATCCTGCATCCAGTAATTTCAGTATCTCTGCCCTGACCACTTCCTTCATGTTTGGATTTAATCTTCTCTGACCCTCTATACTTGGCTTGCAGTTTTCCTCCATTAGAATTTTATGCATACACAGAGAAGGGCTGATTCCTTTAATGTCAGCTATTGTCCACGCAATCGCCGTGTTGTTCTCTCTGAGTACCATGGGCAGTTTTTCTTCCTCCACCTCACTGACTGTATTTGAAATGATTACTGGAAGTGTATCTGACTTCCCCAAATATGCATATCTAAGATGTGGCGGTAGTTGCTTGAGTTCTAAAACTGGCGGCTGCTGGATGGAAGGCAGTGGCTTCGTATTTCCTATCCCCAGTTCCTCGAAGTGCCGTTTTCGGGTGTATGGCGGGTTGGTCTCCAAAAATCTTGCACAAGTTTCAACTTCAAAAAAACTTGACTGAACTGATTGGGATTGTGCAATGCATGCCTCATATGCATCAGATGGGCCGTGAAGTAGGAATGTTTCCTGTATTACCTTGTCAATAATGTCAACTTGGTAACAGCTGTCTAATTCTGCTGGCAGTTTCATGGCCTTGAATACATTGAACAATATCTACTCCTCTCCCAATCTTAAGATCAACTGTCCCCTTTGAACGTCAATTAACGCTCTTCCTGTGGCCAGGAATGGTCTGTCAAGTATCAATGGGACATCATTGTTTTCTTCCATGTCCAAGATAAGAAAATCTACTGAGAATATGAACTTTTCAACCTTAATGAGCACGTCTTCAATTATCCCTCTGGGGTGTGTCAGTAACCTGTCTGCTAGCTGAAGTGTTACAATAGTTGCTTTAACTTCTCCCAAGCCGAGTTTCCTAAAAACAGACAGAGGCATTAAATTAATACTTGCACTGAGGTCACATAATGTTTTATTGAAATATACTTCACCGATCGTGCAAGGAACAGTAAAACTCCCTGGATCTTTCAGTTTTGGTGGGAGCTTATTCTGGATTCTGGCACTACATTCCTCCGTAAGCATAACTGTCTCGTGGTCCTCCAGCTTGTGTTTATTTGATATAATATCCTTGGGAAACATTGCGTAGCTAGGCATCTGAAACATTGCATCGACTAGTGGGATGTTGATATGGAGCTTTTTGAAAACTTCTAGGAATTTTTTGTAGTATTGCTGCTCCACTTTTTGCTTCTTCAAGCACTGTGGGAAGGGGATCGGAGGCTCGTATGGGTTGGTTGTGACCTTGGCCTTATCCTGTGATTTTTCTGAATTTTCCTTTGGAGTTGGTTCCTTCACAGTAGTCTCATTTTCAGCAGGGGAGGATGTCTCTACAGTCACACCTGGTCTCTTGACATGGATTTCTGGTAATTGCACTCCACTTCGAGTTGTAATAGCTTTAGCTTGCTCTTTAGGATTGATTTCTGTATTATTTGGCAAGTTACCTGGCGTCGCCAGTCAATGCGATGGCTAGCTGCCCCATCTGAGTTTCCAAATTTTTGATGGCTACATTTTGATTTTGAAGTGTAGCTTTGGCTTTTTCCATGAATTTTCCTATCACATCCTCCAATTGAGGCCTCTTCTCTTGTTCTTGAAATTGCCTCTGTGGCTTATTCTGATTCTAGTTGCTCTAAGAGAAGTTAGGATGCTTCTTTCAATTGGGATTGAAAGTCTCTCCATATTGATTGTGTTGCTGGCGTTGTCCCCACTGTGCATAGTCCGCTTGCTCAATTCCTTGCATGAGTATTGGGCATTCTGATGTTTTATGTTCGGTTCCACATTCTTTATAATTGCTCTTCTTAGCTTGTACTGCTTGTGATATGCTTTCCACCTTGTGATACAGAGAGTCAATTTTTGCAGATATTACTGAATAAGCATCCACCTCGTAGACACCTGGAGTTTTCCTTGGAATCGCCCTCTCAGAAGACCACATGGCTGATTTGGTAGCCATTCTCTCAAATAATTCCAATGCCCCATCAACTGTTCGTGTGGATATTGAGTCATCTGATGCTGAATCCACCATACTCTTGTGGTATGGAAGTAACCCTGTGTAGAAGAATCGAATTTGGGTCTTTTTATCAAACCCATGCTGAGGGCACTTTCGGAGCATGTTTTTGAATCTGTTCCAGGCTTCGTCAAATGATTCAATTTCTCCTTGACTGAATACTGATATGTCATGTCTCAACTTCGCTATCTTGGCTGGGGAGAAAAACTTTGTGCATAAATTGTGTGCCAGCTCGTTCCATGTAGTGATACTTGCAACCGGGAGTGAATCCAACTATTCAAGTGCTCTGTCTCGTAACGTATGTGGAAAAAGCCTTAACCTAATAACGTCATCCAAAATCCCTTGGTATCTGAAATGTTGACACATATCCACAAATCGAGATGTGTGTGAGTGTGTGGATTCTCCTCGGCTTTGCCATAAAATTGGTGTCCATTTTGAAATAGTTGTATTACATTGGTCTTCAATTGAAAATTGGGCTGCCCAAACGGTGGATACACAATGCTGGATTGGCTTTGAATAACTTGAGGAGTCAAGAAATCCCCCAGAATTTCATTTCCTTCGTCCATTGCCTCTCCTTCGTAAGCTTGAATAATAGGATTGTTTAATTCATTGGCCATTTATACTTGTGCTTCGCGGTGATCTCTTTGTCGTCGATGAAAGGTGCGCTCGATTTCAAGATCAGCTGAAATCAATTCTCCTCCAGGCAATCGTGACATGCAAATCTGAGAATTAAAACCAGTACGAACACTGAGATTCAAACAATTTAAATGACTAAAATGCAAATGAAGGTAATAACCTAAAGTAAAAATAAAAATAAAACTATACTAGCAAAACAAAATTTGAAGTTCGAATTAATGTCTCGAGAAATAAAATTAAACTAAACTCAATCCCCGGCAACGGCGCCAAAAACTTGTTCACGAAATTATTTCTTTCGATTTAAAACTATCGCAAGTGTACGGTTCGTTAACAAATAATAAAGTGGATTAAATAAGTCCGAATATCGTCCCACGGAGATTGATTAGTTCAATTTTACCTATCGTCGCCTTAACCGAAACTAAATTACTAAAGTGGATGTGAAGCTAATTAAAACCCTAATTTTGGAAAGAAAATCCTAATTATACAATTTTTATGATTGAATTAAATTAAGTATGCAAAACGATATTTTTAATACTCTATAATGAAATCAAATGTTGAGAACGCACGTTTGTTGTAATAAATAAAAATTAAATATACTAGGATCATGATTTTCCATGCAATTATCACTTTAAACCCTAGTTTCAAAATATGACAGCACACTTCAATTGTGATGAATCAATGTTTCTAAGTCTATCCAATACTCTCTCTCGAGATGTATCAAACCTATTTCTACGTACCACCGGCCTATATTTCTATGACAAGTGCATATGTAAAAATGCATGCGGTTTTATGAACACTTAAAGATTCACGTAGCGTATAGTGATATATTTCTATCTCCTATCGGACACTATGATGATTTATATTATATCAAATCTATTCCAATTCTCTCAAATGCAAAAATAAATCACCTAAATTCACACAATTACGAGCCCATAATTGCGGAAACATTAATTGCATATAAATCATTCAAAACAATAAAAATGTGTCTTAATGTCAAATTCCAAAACTAGGATATTAAAATTCAAATTACATGATTCATCGATCTCCTAGCACATGAAAATCTAGCCTAGCATGGTTAAAATAACAAAATTCATCAGGTTTTGAGTAATAAGCATCACCGGATTATAAAAGCTTGAAGAAATCTTGAAATTCTAATAGTCAATCTTCGTTCTTGCGCTCCAAATCCTCTTCAAGAAGTGTTTTTCTGCCTCCCAATGCGTTCCCCTCGTTTCTGGACCTTTTTTGATATTTATATCGCGTGAATATTAGGTTACCAAAGGAGTTTTAATCGTATAAGAAAAGAAAATTTTCACATCAGGAAGACTACCATGCGACCACATGGTTTTAATCCGTGCGGCCGCATGGTTAATCCATGTTTCATCAAAAATTCCCTGCATTCAGTCGTGCAGCCGCACGAGAGTTCTACCATGCGGCCGCATGGTAGACTCCAACTTCTATTCTCTTCAATTTAATCCCTTTACTTGAATCTTTCACTTCTAGGCATTTTTTCTTCACTCTTTCCATTCCATCATCCCAAGGCATCATCAATTGACGTTTGGTTCAATCAATTCCTCGATTTTTTCATCGGGTCAACTTTTGGGTAATTGCACCTTGGTCCTTGAACTTTCACTTTGTGTCATTTTAGTTATTTTTCGCGTCTTTTCTCATGAATTTCACCATGTTCATCGGTGTTCTCTATAATTCACAAATGTAACGAAATTAAGTCACAAATCAATCATTTTGCTCATAATTAAGTCATGTTTGTAACATAAATAAGTATGCATAAACACACTTATCAAGTTTTGAACTCATGTGCCATCTCTCCGTGCCACCTACTTTTTTTTTGGGATAAAATCTGATTAAAACAAATAAAAGCACAAAATAAAAGCATAAACACTACTAAATATCAACCTGATAAACTGAAGGTCCTTAAACGTCCATCAGAATGAACTGCAGAATGAGGTTGCACTTCATGCATTAGATTTTTCAGTTGAGGATTCTCAATGCACGTCCACTTTCTCTTTCTTTCAAAAGTTCGCCTATTCTTCAACCAATCACCAACATTTTTTTTCCAGAAATAACAGGATTATGTAGCGATAAGGTGGAGACTATATGTAGAATTTCTGCATTATTTGGACTTTTATTTCATCCATCAAATATGCATCGAAGAAAATCAACATCTGTAAATATAGGTATACGGTAGGCAGCATATACGGTAAGTTGTTTGCAAATATGGTATGCAGCATATACGGTTAGCTGCCTGCAAATACGGTAAGCTGCATATATGGATTTATAATTTGTTATAGATGTATAAAATTTATTTAATATTGAATTTCTTAAGTATTAAATGTTGTAATTCAATATTATTTCCTTTTTTATAATTGTATTTTCGAGAATAAAAAAAAAGTGGTTATGAAATTGTTAATTTTTAAATGTGTTTTTTTGGTGAAGATAAAAATGATTTTTTTATGTTATTTATAAAAAAAAAATTATTGTAATTTTAGCCCCTGTTTGATTAACATTAAATTAAATTACATTACATTTCATTTTTCTCTCTCCTATTTTCAACCATACAATCTTCTATAAAATAATATTACACGTAAATCGAAAACTTTACCTTCTTTTTCAACCACTCATTTTTCTAAAAAATACTATTTCCCCCATTACCATTTTCAAGTAATGGGGGCCAAACAGGGAGTTATTAGCATAATAAGATGATTTATTATGCATTTTTTGTATTTTGTGAAAATTTTTGTTTATGGTGATTGACAAATATTTTTTCACACACGCATCATGCAATCAACGTTAAAATGATAATAATAATTTTAATATATATAAACTCCACGAGACCAAAAATAAAAAACTCTGCACAGTGCGGAGAAATGACACTCTCTCCGTACAGTGCGAAGAGAAAAACGAAACTCTCCTCACAGTGTGAAAAAATAAATAAAAACTCTCTGTACTGTGCGGAGAGATATATGACAATCTCTCCGCACAGTAAAGAGAGAAAAATCAAACTCTCCACATAGTGCAGACTCTTTGTTTTTTTTTTTATTCCCGAAAATACAATTATATAAAAAGAAAATAATATTAAATTAGTACTTAAAAAATTCAATATTAAATAAATTTTATACATTTATAACAAATTATAAATCGACGTATATGTAATATACCGAATTTTGATATTGTCGTCTTACTTAGTCCCATGCTACAGATCACAATTATGCTGACTTTTTGTCCTTTAGAGTATCCATGATTTTCTAAGACCCTTCAATTTTGCTTTTTTTTTTTTTTAGTAAACTTTAATAAATCAACAGCAAAAGAAAAAAGAATTATTCCCCAGTAAATGATCAATTCTATGTGCAAAATTATATGAATTATATGGGATTGAACAGAAATATGGTTGATAAGATTGAAAGTTCCCCTTTCTGATAGATGCAATAATTTGTCATTAAGCTTATTGATTTTAACTGGGTGGATGTTTTGTGTATCATTTTGGCACGTAATTAAACAACAAAGCTAGCTTCTGTCTATGAAACTATTTTGTTACCTTAGTATGCAACCTTTCGGGAATCTTTGAATATTAAACTATATTTCATCAATTCTACTCTTTAGAAATTGTTGTACCTAAAAATAAGGAGTATGGTTGGCTAGTATCGTCGCTGAAAATAAGGAGCAAAAATCGGGATGGACGTGAGTTAAAGAAGAGAAAGAAAGAAGGAAAAAAAAACTTTAACAGCGAAAAGTAAGAAAAATATATAAACAAAAATGATGTCATTTTCTTCTCTCTTGCACAGTAAATTGGAATTTATTTACTGTTTCATCAACAGTGGCAACCCGTTGAGCTTTTTAATAGAAGTTAGATAATATAAACAAATCAAAATGAATTAAAACAAACGTTGGTGAAGATGAGATTAATGATAACGAGTTGTTCAAGTTACACTGCATGGACATCCATTCCACATGGGGGAATGCACCTTAAAAAAAAAAAGATTTTGTTCAAGTAATCACTAAGAAAACACCTGGACAATATGCAGACCTTTGGCAAAAATAATTAATAGAAGTTTATGACATAAAGTGATTTTTTAAATTTTTTATAGGCATTCATGGACTTCTACGCCTTCATCACACTCCTCGGCGCTAGCTCATAAGTGGTTTCATAATGATTGATGAAATTTTTTGTTGCCATGCTTGTACGGTTGAGAAGCAAAGTATGTCCTCTGGATATTTGAAATAAAGTTTTTTGGCACATCCTAAATTGTCTCATTGATTATGAACTTCGCATACTTCATCCCAAAAACTTTGCATGTCGTGACTACAATTTTAATAAAATATGTAATGTCAGATTGTATCTCTTGATTATTATGATAGGCTAAACTGCAAACTAAATTGGATGAAGAGTTAGCAAACAGTGATTCATTGGAATATAGAAACCATTATACAACATATTACTGAGTGGTAAGAAAGATGGCATATAATTTGATTGTACAACATCACGACCATTGAAGTGTAATGTGTTCAATGGACATTTGGAGACGACATCTTATAACAGGTATGGTAGGTTGCACTATAGTAACTTACAATGAAATTTGAGATAGAGAATAAAAAGTATCACACACTCAAGTAATTCTCTCAAGTCATAGAAAAGAAGGAAGCAGGAATGTTAAAGCTCTGATACCATGTGAAATTCTCTAATCTAGAATTAGAGAGCAGAAATAAAGAGAAACTTTGAGAGAAACTCAATGCGATTTTTGATGGAAAAATTGTGTATAATACGGTACATAAGGTTCTATATTTATAGACACATAGAACTACTAATTAACTGAAAAACTAACAACTATAACTACACAACAGATTCCAGCTCAAATGACAACTGTCTAAACTAACTTCCAACATCTTAACTAGCATAACAGTCAACGGGTTTCAGCAGCAACAGAATTGGGACTGAGGTTTCTTTCCTTTGCTTCTTGGGGATTCAATTCCAAGGCTTCAGGCTTCTGCAGGTTCCAACATTATGGATGATGATTGTGAGGTTTCAAGCTAATTTGAAATGGATTTTGAGGGTAATTAGATTACGACATAATTGGGGATTCGGTGGCTGTTATTGGGGGATATAAGTTGTTGGTTGTTTGGTTGAGCAAATTACTCCTTCGAAATTGATATTATTTTATGGTGAGAAGATTTTTTCATTTTTACTTTAATATTGTAGTATTGTTTGAAATAAAATTGATATGTTGTATTTTGTGAATAATTTATTAAAATGAGGTATGTGGTGTAATTTTCACTTTTATGTTTATATCAGTTAATAATTATAATGAAAATTACACCTACACAAAATTGTAAATTTTTCAATTCAAATGTCAAGTTTAAAATGTTTGTTATAATTCAAATTTTTAGTAATAATAATATTATTATAAAATTAAATTAATCAACCTACCCAGCCCACCACACCGAATTTCACTCTCGAACCCTAAATATTTTTCCTCTCTCTCTCTCTTTATCATATGTGATAGCCAAATTCACAATCTGGTGCACAATTAGGCTGTCACCATCAAACTTCAACTGTCCGAGCAAACCATCGCAACGAGAGACCATTAGAAGACCAACCATTGTCAAAGGACCACTACCGCCTCTATGCAACGATCCTTACGCATTGTGATCGCCGCTGCACAACAACGATGGTTTTGAGGTTGGTTTTTGGGTGATTTCTTCCTCCTCCGATCTGCTACTTGGTCGGAGTTTGGGGATAGTTTTTGTTGATGATTGTTGGTGTTTTACAAAATGGTGCAGGTGGTGATTGTACTAGCAATGAAGGTGTTGGCAATAGTGATGTAGGCATTGGTGTTGTTGGCAATTGTAGTGATGTGGTGACGGTGGTGGTTGAGGTGGTGATGGTGTTGAAGAGTGTTTATGTAAAAAAAAGGTTGAATCTCAATCTTGAGAGCCCCCACCGTCCCAATCCTAGAACCTTGTGAGGGAGGTAAATCGCGGGATGTGCCCCAACAGGTGGAGAACAAGAGCTGCCTGTACACTGTGCTTACAAGGAGTTCAATTCCATGTCTCAGGAAAAAGAGTGTTTATGTTCAATTAGTTGAGTGATTGTGACCAATAAATTGTTTAATTTATTATCAATAAATAATATGTGATCGATAAAATAGATAATACGCAACCTAAAAAATGTGAGATGCGACTAAAATTGTAATCGCGACTCACATATTGTTAAGTTGTAACCAATTATTTTGATAATTTGATTTGTGATTGTGAAATAAATTGTAACCTATAAGGTTTGTGATTGTGATCAATAAATAATACACAACCTATTTATTCGATAAGTATTTACCGATAAATAAATTATGATCTATAAAATTTGTGATTTATGATCGAGAAATAATGTGTGACCAATTAATTTGATAATTAGTGACCAACAAATAAGTTATGCCCTATTAAATTTTATCTTGCAACTACCTTAGATATGTTTTGTTCCTGTAATTATATTATTTTTTTTTCCATAATAATTGTATTATGATCTTTCATTTTTATTTTCTCTATCTAAAGAACTAATTATTTAAAATGTATAAGATTATAATTATTTCAATACTACCTTGCAACATTTTAACCAATTTAATTAATTTATTTTGTTACCTCAAGGCTCAAACGATTCAGCTATGTATAATTCAACACAAGTCAAGAGTTTTCGTATGAAGATCTATAAAATTCTAAAGATTTAAAACTTATAGTTTAAATAACTTTTCGACTCGAATTTTATCTTTTAAAATTGTGATCAAATAACGACAAATAAAATCAACATTTTCTATTTAAAAAGAACATTGCAAAAGATTTTCGTATTGTACTCAAGACCAATTTCAGTAAGCTACTTAGTTCATCTCAACGTATTTAAATAAACAAAGAAAAAAAAGGATTTTAAACATGTCAAACATGTTTTCATCTATATTACATTTATATTTTTATTTGAATTAATAATATAACATTTATATACGTCTTAACGTACTTTCAAAAAATAATTTTTATGCACAATCATATATGTTGTCATGTATATTCTTCTTATGTTTTTCTTTGAATTAATTAATAATGTTAATTGATCTATATCAACGCTAGGAAGTCAATTTAAAAAAAAAAAATCAATTAAAAAGTTTAAATTAATTAAATATTAATTTTTAAAAAATAAAATTATATTATTTCTAAAAATAGAAGCACAAATGAAAGAACAGGGCCACAAGGCCCATTACCCATGTTGCCTTTAAGTGGAAATTACGGCCCATTTACATCTATTGCTGCAAAACACATTACTCCAAGAAAATTTTCCCAGTTCCCCTCCACCGCCGTCGCCGCCACCACTACCACCACCGACGGTGTTAATCTCCACGGCCTTTCCGCAATCCCTGAATTTACGAAACACAAGTACCAAAAGTAAACACAAACACATACTATTTTGCGTTTCAACTTTCTAAAATACCGTACTAACAATCAATTATGTATCTTTAAGCTACAGGAGTGTTTTTCTTTCTTCGCGGATTTGTTCTTCAGCAAAAACTATAATGAGGTCTTCGAATATTAGTGACATTTTAACTTCCTTTAGTCCATCTATGGACTTCTTTGCAATCAGCCCCGGTGACGGTCGAATAAAGGTACTCGTTAAAGAATCGAAGTCACAGTTTAATATCAGAAATAAGTGATATCGTAAATTCTTGAGTACATAATTTAATATGAAATATAATTGCCAAAACATGTATTTTATGAAAAGGAATTACTTCAGGTATATATATATATATGTATTGGCTCGGATGTTGCTTTTCTTCTGTGTATGTTTGTGCCTTGTGCCGTTGTTTTTGAGGTGTAAGAATAATGGAAGTTACCAAATTTTAGCAAGTTTATTTTGTTTGTCACAAAATAATAAAAGTATGGTGTATTAGAAGTATAAGTAGGTGGAACTTGGAGGTGTTTTTGAGCCTTTATTTACGTTGTTTATGGAGATTTAAGCAATGCTTGTATTTATTTCAGATATGGGACACCGTGAAGGGTCAGGTCCAAACGGAGTTTTCTGATGTTACTTCAAATGAAACTACGGGTATATTTGGGAAGAAGGAAGGAGGACACCTTTCGATGGATTATACATGTATGAAGTGGTTGTCAGTGGACAAAAAGGTTTGCTTTTGCATATAATCCTTGTTGCTTTAAATTCGTTAGCATGTTCAGTTATGCCTGTTCGTTTTGATGCTGAATAATATGTTGGGCGTCCAGAAAAAAAGGAAGCTTGGAACTTCTCTGTTGGTGTTGGGAACGGGTGGTGGCGATGTTCTGGCATTGGATGTATCTGCTGGTCAGTTGAAATGGAGGGTTAATGACTGTCATCCTGGGTGCGTTTTTTGTGAAAACTTACTTTGCATTCTTTTGTATGCTGAATGAATTTAAATCTTGCAGGCTCCTCTAACTTTCATCTAATGTATTTGATTTGTATGTGATGTTAAATGAAAGGTAGTTTTTAGGGCCTTGGATGAGATTTTGTCCATTTTGTTTGGATTCCTACTGACTTGTTTAATTCTCTTGACCAAATAATTGAGCGTCTGTAAATGTAGATAAGTAACTCTCAAACGTGCGTGTTCTTTTGTCACTTTCACCTTCTCGTGTCTTGTTACACTCCTGCTATACTGTTGAATTTCATGGATCACTGAAAGAAGAAAGGGGCTTTTTAAGTTTTTGAACATCCCATATATTGAAAGGACATAATTTGTTTATTTAACTTAAATTTAGAAAGAAGTTCCCATAGTTGTGGGATTTAGTTTCTTGATTCTAGGAAGAATCCCATATCATGTAGAGAAGTTTAATACTATTTGGGGTGTATCAATGTGCATACTTGGACCCAGATTGAAAAAGGAAAATGATGATTATTCTAAATTTCCTGAAGATATATGATGTGACCTATTGGATGGATACTTTTGAAGTTTGTGAAATAAATACAAACTAGTTTCAATGGATGGTATAAATCATGTGTGTGCAGAAATGAAAATGCAGAATTTGGGGTTGTTTAATCATTTGTTATATTCAATTCCTCGACATTATGCAGAGGCATTAGTGCAATTTCATTTCCTACTCATGGTCCACGCATTTACACTGCCGGCGCTGATGGAATAGTTTGTGAACTCGATTCAATGTCAGGAAACTTATTGCGAAAGTTCAGCGCTTCTTCTAGCAAAGCAATATCTTCTATTTCCGTTTCACCAGGTATATATCTACCTTATGACTGTTTATAATTGACCGAGCTTATTTTCATCGTATAGTTGAGAAATTTTTAGCAACAATATTCAGTAATCTCGTGGTTGATTTTCAGAATGATTATCATGAAACTTGGGTGTGCATGTTATGGAGATAGGGCAATTTGTGGAGGGGAATTGAATCAATTACCAAGAATAGCATGCCAAAATATGTAATTATATAAAAATATTTGTGATTACTACTCATTAGTTACTGACTAAAGCAAATGCAGTATCACTGGCTATCGAAAAGAGATGTTGTTTTTCATTATCAATTATGAAAGCCCAAGACTAGCTAATCAAGAGGGGGGTGAACATTTTCGAAAAATAATTATAAGTATACAACTAACTCACTTAAATGTAGCAATTAATTAAATATTGATAAATATGAAAAATAGCAAAGACTAAGATGAAACCACAAGTAATAAATGAAAGCAAAGTTAAGTAAAAGATAAGAGAAGTCAAACGATAATATGGAGGTTCAATCCAGTCCAATGATTTACGTCTCCCGTTACCAAACTCTCCGTCACGAGTAAGACTTTTTTCACCATATTGATTGACTTATAGTGTATTCCAACCTTCTTACAACGCTTTCGATGACTTACAACCAAGGAGTATCGATCATTTTACAATGTTGAGATTTCCGAGACCTTGACCCGCCCACAATCGAAAATAAGAGAAAGAGATATTACAAGTAAGAAACTTCTCTCTTAGTAAATGAAATGATCACAATTAAGTGTTGATAGAGAAGTAGGCTTAACACTTCAATAGATTGCAATGAGTATAGCTCAAGTGTTACTTTGAAAAACTTTTAATGAGATGAAGAATTTATAATAATTTTGATCAATCAAAAAATGTTTCTTAAGTTATAAATATTTTGATCTTCTAAAGATTGAAAAATAGAGTAGTTGAGATCAATAAAAACCTTACTTAAATGCTCAAAGAAAGTTATTACAAATGAGGAAGTTAAGAGGTATTTATAGCACTCAAATGGGCAAAGTTCTGTCCATCCGAACAAGCCATCCAGACGTCCAGACTCAACCGGACGATGTAAAAACTAGCCGTTTGAGTCAAAGTTGGAACGATAAAAAAAAAATTGACCATTGGGTCGTACGAATGTCTGATTAGGCAAAAATGCCCCCGGACAGTTTTCCTTCTTGATGATTTTGATTCATGTACGTTTTTTGAAGGATTTTCTCACCTTTTTTGTAAGGGTAAGTATATTTATAAATATTTGATTATGAAATCAAAATACTTATCTTTTTCAAAATTAATTTTTATGTAAATATTCTTTTGAGACGTGATTTTATTTTCGTGCATAAAAAAAATTCTTTTGAGCTATGGTCAATGCTAAAAATTGAGGTGTTTTACCTTTACATAAAAATTTATATCGTCTATATCTAATGTCTTTTTTAGCGATCGATCTTTTTTCCAAAGTGATTCTCGACATCAATGCTTGATTTCCATCTTTATGTTCGTCAATCGTCAAAATTATTTGTCCATGTGCACGTCTCTTGCAATAATCACTATTAGCACTTGAATTCAATTTGTTAGACATAAACGCAATTTGTTTGTATTAATCAAAACATTAAAGATGAAGTCAACAATTCAATTATGTGGGAACTAAAGATTAATTTGTGAAATTTTTATCTAAGGAATCTTGAAGATAACAATACCATGCCCTTGTGGTAGCAAGAAATTTCCTAAAAAGTGGAATATGAAGTTGTCATTATATCGTCTTTGGATCACAAAGATCAGGGAGTAAAGGTACCGTGGGCATCTTTGCTGGTATTATTTTTAAAAATGGATGGTATCAATATAAACTTCATCTGACAACTATAAGATGAATAAAATTTATTTATATATAAATTTTTTCCTCCTTCCATTTATTAAGGAATGGATGATAATGTAAGGGAGTCACTAATCACTATATATATTGTATCATGTTCTTAGGGTGGATATTCCATCATAGCTCATCAGTAAAATTGACAGAAGTTGCTGACTTTGTGTTACATGCTAGGGCCAGCTACTCAAAGTCTTTTCTTTTTTGTTATTGTTTTTAAGAATACCTATAGATATTAAATTAAAGCCTAAAGTAACAAATAGCTTCTTTCTTTAGTGCTCTATTTTCTGGATTTTGGAGTAGAATTTCCTTCCTTTGCTGTTTATTGTGGGCGAGCTCCTGATAGCATGAACAGAGTAGTGTGCATTCTGGGTCACTTCCCCCTTTTTGATACCTCGTAAATGTACTACTGTGCGATTAGAGAAAAGTAAGAAAGACATAAATGGGTCCTTTGATATTTTTAATATAATTAGCTACTTCTGGTGATGTGAGAAGTCTAGTAAGGCAAAAGATAGGTCGACAGAGAAAGGTTTTGGCAGTGATATATATGCTTTCTTGTTGGCTGAATTGATGCCCATGCTAAATATCAATAACTTGCTACCACCTTTTTATATTAGCATTTGAATGTTACAATATAGGACTTTTAGAATTGATTTATTTTGCTTGCTTTCTTGGGTGTGTATCCTCCAAATCAGATGGAAAATGGATAGCAACTGCAGCAGCCCAATTAAAGATCTTCAATGCCTCAAATCACAAGAAAGTGCAGAAGTTTTCAGGCCATCCTGTGAGATTCTTCTCTTATCTTTTAATTATTGTAGACATATTTTTGTTTGACCTGTTATTCCTTTACTGACAGTAATAGAGATAATTTTCTGCCTTCTCATTTCACCTATGGTTCATAAATTGTTTCTATCGGTAACTAGGGGGCTGTTAGATGTATGATATTCTCTGAAGATGGGAGATATGTGCTTTCTTCTGCTGTGGGTGAAAGATATGTTGCAGTCTGGAAAATTGACAGTAGCAAAAACAAATCAGCATGTGCATTTCTTGCAATGGATCACCCTGCTATCTTCTTGGATAGCATGTGCATTAGTAGCAGTGATCCAGATGATAACGGTCTATGTGTTTTAAGTGTATCAGAAATGGGTGTGTGTTATTTTTGGCATGGAAAGACAATTGACGAATTACGCAATTCCAAACCCACGAAGATCAGCATATCTGATGATGATGGAGTTTTGAAGAAACACAAGGGAGCAGTTCCTAATGTATTTGCTGCAAAGCTACAAACGGTTTCTGAGCCTGCTTGTGGTCATGTGTTTCTTGCCTATGGTTTCCTAATAAAACCGTCATTTGAGAAAGTTCTGGTGCACTCTGGAGCAGACTTAAAGTTAAATAGCTCAGATGATGGAATCCTTCTACCCATCAGTCAATCCCACAAGTCAAAGAAAACATCCAAAATTCCGAATCAAGGTAAGGCAGTTTTCTCTCGCTTTCTCTAATATTTTCGTTGTCCTGACCCTGGTTTGAATGATATGATGTGGTTATGATTCCATTGAAAGCGTGTTTGGCTGGAAGGATTGGGGCCCCGTTTGGTACCCATTTTTTTCAAAATGCATTTTTTTTTTCAACCACACATTTTTCATTAAAATAATATTACACGTAAATCAAAAACTTTTCTTTACTTTTCAACCACACATTTTCTATCAATTTACTATTTCAAAATGCATTTTTACATAAAAATGGCTCCCAAATGCTCTCTCTGGGTTCTACTACTAAGAAAGAAAAAGAGTTGCAATCTTGGTCTTTATAGTTTCAGTCCGGTACTGTTACAGGTTTATTATTGGCTGTACTAACTATTAAGGGAGAAACTCAAACTATATAGAGGAAAAAAACTATCTCTATCTTGTCTACATGCCTTTTGGTATTCTTCAGCTGTTGCCTGCATTACCAGACTTTCCAAATACATTCTGTGTTTTGGACAGTTACTCCTTGGATACATCAAATTTAAAATAACTTAAAATTGCCACTGCCTTAGTGCATCTACAAAGATATATAGTACATATGCGCACACTTTCATCCTAACTTAACATGAACAGGCCAATTTGAAAACAAAGCTCTTATAGTTCCTTTTAGTTTTATTTCATCTTTCTGAAAGGAAAACTATCAAATGTTTAATAACAGTAAACTGGATCCTCCTATCATTATGAAATGTCAACATAACCATAAAAGATTTTATAATTTTTCATTCTGTATAAATAACTTCAATTAGTTTATTTTGATTCAATATTTAGCATAGATCTGTTTTTCTGGTATACAAATGCTGCTTTCCTAGTTTTCAGTTTGACTTTATATATAGTTTTCAGTTTGACTTTATATATCGACTTTCGAATTTATCATATGAAATATGTTCCAAGTTCATGACTTGTATACATTGTGACGTATTGTTATGATGACAAGCAGTTACTGCTCTGGATCGTGCAAATGCGGATGGTGCTTTGCTTCCTAAGCCCAAAGTTTTGGATTTGATGGATGGAAAGAATGAAGTTAATTCTGTGGCAAATAAAGGTGCTTAAAAATTAAAGCTCTCTCCTGAAGTTGCTGTATTACATATTTTGGGTTGACACGCCTTTATTTTTTGACTTGTCATTTGCTCAGTCGGCATCATTAATGCAGATTTTTTTTCCAGAAATTATTATAATTTACCATGGAGTAAATGCATTGATTAAGATATGATTGAATTAAAAGAATTACTGTTCATTGAATCTCTGTCTGCATAGTAGGTAATTTTCAATTATGTAGTTACTTTCTGTGTACTTAAACTTTTATGTATTTATAAGGTTAACAAAAAAATATTTTCATTCAAGTACTAGCACAGCAATGATTATATGTTTGATGACATCCCTATAAATGATATTTTATTTTTCTCTAATATAAACAATAGGCGAGTATCTTTATTTGATTACGCCAATATTGAGTACCATCATCAATTTCGAGTCTTCCGTTTTATAATATTCACATCTTGGAAATTTTTTGATAGTTATTGAGTAATGGAACATTAAATAAAAGGGGTTAAAACGCATAATCCTATAATGATCTAGTTTATTTTTAACATATGATGCAGATAAAATCGATGTTGATGCTGGAACACTATGCATGGAGGACAAGCTGAGATCTTTAGGGGTACTTGGTAATATTGATTCCACGCTTAGCACAATGTTGGATTCAAAAATTTTGAAGGGTATTGATCTTGAAGCTAGTATGCCGATAAAAAAGGTTTGTCTCTCGTGTATTTAGTTTTGAGTATCTCATTTGTTATATGCAAAATAGAACTTTTCCATAACTGCATGTTTTTATCTTAGATAAAAGCAGCAATCATATCCATGGAACCTGATGATGCTTTCAACTTGCTAAAAATCTTGGTGGATGTCTGGCTATCCAGGTATGCTATTTTAAAATTTCTGAACTGGAAATTATCTGTATGTGACTTGTTAATAGCACAGATAACTCTTTGCAAGCGAAGAAAAAGGTTCTCTAATTGGAATAAAATTGTTTTCCACGCGAAAGATGATGGACTGACTTAAAACAATTCGAATTTGTATAAGCCTCCATTTGAAAATAATTTATAGAAACGGTTTAATTTGTAAATAGATAAAAATAAGTGGTGGAACAGTGAATATTAAGTGCGTCCACTGGAATGTGTGATTAAAAATGAAATTGGACAATTTATAATTTTTGCCAATTGGGAGCTAAGTTATCTTTACTTCTTCCGAGGTATATGTTTTTTGCTTGTTTCGTGTTATTGTTTTGCTCAAACTTTCTTTGGCCAGATCTCGCAGTGGGAAGCTCATTCTTCCATGGATAAGTTGTATATTGGTGTATCACGGCAATTATGTTAAATCTCAGGACCCAAAACTTCTAGATTCCTTGTACGAGGTATAACTTGTGAAAGTTGTTTTATACTTTGTTCCTCCATCTATCATTTGGTTTACCTTTGCTCTCATAAGTTCAAATTCGACGTTCCATATTTATTCTACAATTCACTTCTCGTTTCTCTATCTCCGTACATGTTATAGGTTATTGTATGTAGATTTAATTTTCCCTCTCTGTTTTTCGTTTTTTGATCCTTCACGCAAGTCATGTCTTGCATTTATCTGTTTCTTTTTCAGCTTACAAACTCAAAAGCTGTAGCCGTGAACTCTTTATTCCAGTTGTCTGGTCGTCTGCAACTCGTATCAGCGCAGGTTAAATCTTTTAAACGTCACTAGAAATGTAAATTATTTGGTTATGTTTTTCGACATAGTCTTACAGGTTGAGTTTTTCTTTGGAAACAGATTGACAAGGCAACGAATTATAAAAACTGCGCCCCCACGGAACACAGTGAGCAGATGGAAGAAAGCGAAGTTGAAGATGTTGATGAAGTTTTTTATGACGATGAAGATTCTCAAACCAGTAGTAACAGTGATAATTAGGCACGACATAAAGCAAGCTTTTCATCGCGTAATTTGTGTTGTATTGTTTCATCTTCATTGCTCTTCGGGCAAAAATTTTGTTTTCTAACGTTTAATGTGGAAGAACGAAAAATTAACATAAAAACGAGTTTTTCAGGATTTTATGTATATTCGACTATGCAAGTTTTTTACTTTCAGAAATTGATATGCCTTTCTTTGTTTTCTTTTTTCTTTTTTTTTTTAACGATTGTCGACGTTGTGTATGCTGGTGTCAAGAAGACACTATATTCGATCACGAGTACAACAGTCTTCATTCAATTGTCTTTGTTATGCATTGTGATTCTGTCAATTTATCAATATTTTTTTTCTTACATGAAAAATAATAGAATGTTGAATGTTCATTTTATTCTCGTTAAAGATATAATTATAAATTGATCTATTTGGCTATAAAATCAACGCTTGAGTTGATGCAAACTCTGTTTGTTACTATCTTTTCTAATGTTCTAAACAGATTAAAGCGTGATTAGGCATGGAGGCATTACTTATTATTATTAATTTAAATACTTAATTATTTTAAAAAGTATTTAATAATTAGAATAATACATTTTAAACATTTATAATTATAAAATACTACTTAATATTCCTACAATTTGTCAATTATAAAATTTTCAAGTTCTTGAAATGTAAAAGTTAACTATTTTCATGGTTTTATTTTTCAAGTAGACAAGTCTTGCTTAACAGATATATAGTCATAAGTATACTTTTGAAGTTTCCAACTAAACGATAAATCTCAAAATCATAATTACATAATATAGATAGTACCGTGACTTAAATCTTATCTAAATTTTTATCCAATAAAGCCATTTTCACTTTTGTACAAATAAAATCATTTAAAAATTGAAATTAAAGTCAAATAAGAGCCTTTTAAAAAAATGAAAAAAAAAATGTTAATAAACTAAAGTCAAACAAAAGATTTTTTTAAAAAAAAAAGGAAAAAAGTAAACAAAAACTAATAAAGTATGCCCAGGTGCTTATTAAGCAGTCAACTTAATTTAATTTGCACTTAATATCAAGGAAACACTTTTTGTCCACGCCTCGTGCATAGGTGAAGCCTAGCATGCCTTTTCGAATACTAAGGCTCTATTCTCTTTACCGTTTTCGAGCCGTTTTATATTTTTGAAGTTTCCAACTAAATGATAAATCTCAAAATCATAATTACATAATATAGATAGTACCGTGACTTAAATCTTATCTAAATCTTTATCCAATAAAGCCATTTTCACTTTTGTACAAATAAAATCATTTAAAAATTGAAATTAAAGTCAAATAAAAGCCTTTTAAAAAAATGAAAAAAAAAATGTTAATAAACTAAAGTCAAACAAAAGATTTTTTTTTTTTTTAAAAAAAGGAAAAAAGTAAACAAAAACTAATAAAGTATGCCCAGGTGCTTATTAAGCAGTCATCTTAATTTAATTTGCACTTAATATCAAGGCAACACTTTTTGTCCACGCCTCGTGCATAGGTGAAGCCTAGCATGCCTTTTAGAATACTAAAGCCCTATTCTCTTTACCGTTTTCGGGTCGTTTTATATTTTTGAAGTTTCCAACTAAATGATAAATCTCAAAATCATAATTACATAATATAGATAGTACCGTGACTTAAATCTTATCTAAATCTTTATCCAATAAAGCCATTTTCACTTTTGTACAAATAAAATCATTTAAAAATTGAAATTAAAGTCAAATAAAAGTCTTTTAAAAAAATGAAAAAAAAAATGTTAACAAATTAAAGTCAAACAAAAGATTTTTTTTTTAAAAAAAAAAGGAAAAAAGTAAACAAAAACTAATAAAGTATGCCCAGGTGCTTATTAAGTAGTCAACTTAATTTAATTTGCACTTAATACAAGGCAACACTTTTTGTCCACGCCTCGTGCATAGGTGAAGCCTAGCATGCCTTTTAGAATACTAAGGCCCTATTCTCTTTACCGTTTTCGGGGCGTTTTCTGTTTTTGAAGTTTTCAACTAAATGATAAATCTCAAAATCATAATTACATAATATAGATAGTACCGTGACTTAAATCTTATTTAAATCTTTATCCAATAAAGCCATTTTCACTTTTGTACAAATAAAATCATTTAAAAATTGAAATTAAAGTCAAATAAAAGCCTTTTAAAAAAAATGAAAAAAAAATGTTAACAAATTAAAGTCAAACAAAAGATTTTTTTTAAAAAAAAAGAAGGAAAAAAGTAAACAAAAACTAATAAAGTATGCCCAGGTGCTTATTAAGCAGTCAACTTAATTTAATTTGCACTTAATATCAAGGCAACACTTTTTGTCCACGCCTCGTGCATAGGTGAAGCCTAGCATGCCTTTTAGAATACTAAGGCCCTATTCTCTTTACCGTTTTCGGGCCATTTTCTGTTTTTTATTTTTTCAAAAAGGTGAAAACGTGTTCTCTTTTCCGTTTTCGAAAACGAAAAAAAAATTTGTGAAGAAAACACAAAAACAACTTTTTAGTCGTTTTGGGCGTTTTCAGTGTAAAACTTGAAAAAATTGAAAACACGGGAAACACAACTTTTTTTTTTTTTTTTTTTTTTTTAGGTGGTGTTGTGGTGATTCTCAAAATTTCAAAAAAAAAAAATTTATTTTTTTTTGTTTTGAAAAACTAACAAAAAGAACGCATTTTCAACAATTTCAAAACAAACAATCAAAACATAAAACTCAAAATGAATTCAAAACTCAAAACACAAAACTGAAATATAAAGAGAACACCCCCTAATATTTTCCTCTTATTTAGATTTTGTATAATAAGCAGAATACTTCATAAATCTCGTTCACTTGTTTTTATGACCAAATTGATTTTTGTGAGATATGAATATATATTTCATAAAATTTCCTGAACTCATTTTTCTAATATGGTCAATTTCTATAATACTTCATATATTCAGTCCTTTAGTAAGAGGGTGTTTGGGAGCCATTTTTATGTAAAAATTCATTTTGGAATGGTAAATTGATGGAAAATGTGTGGTTGAAAAATAAGAAATTTTTTTTGATTTACGTGTAATATTATTTTAATGAAGGATGTGTAGTTAAAAAAAAGAGAGAGAAAAATGCATTTTGAAAAAAATGGATAACAAACGGGGCCTAAATCTGATTCATCGTAATCAGATTGATTGAAATTACATATTCAATACTTCATAAATCTTATTCATTTATTTTCCCAATAAGATGGATTTTTCTAACACATAAACATATATTTAAATCTCATTCACTCATTTTCCAAATCAGATCGATTTTCATTAAACGTGAATATATATTCAATTCTTCATAAATGAACATATATTCAACACTTCATATGTCTCATTCACTTAATTTCCAAATCAAATCGATTTCTAACACATGAATATATATTCAAAATTTAGTATCATTCGCTCATTTTCCTAATAATAGATGGATTTTAACAACACATGAACATATATCCAATACTTCAAAAATCTCATTCACTGATTTTTCTAATCAGGTTGATTTTTATAATACGTTAACATATATTTAAAATTAGTAAATATCATTAACTCATTTTCCTAATTATATTGATTTTTGTAACACATCATTTTCCTTATCGAACGAATTTCTATGACACATGAACATATATTCAATACTACGTAAATATAATTCACTCATTTTCCTAATCAGATACATGAACACATAATTTCGATACTTCATAAGCCCCCGTTTGAGCCCCATTATTCCTAGATTATAATGAGATGAATAGTATTTTTTTGAAAAATGAGTGGTTGAAACGTTTTTGATTTACGTGTAATATTATTTTATTGAAGATTGTGTGGTTAAAAGTAGGAAAGAGAAAAATTTAATTTGATGTAATGAGAAATAATGGGGGCCAAACACATGCTAAATCTCATTTAATCATCGATTTCTATAAGACTTAGCAAGTCTTATTCACTCATTTTCCTAAATAGATGGGTTTCTAAAATATATAAATATATATTCAATACTTCATAAATCTCATATACATTCGTCAAATCATATGAATTTTTATAAAACGTGAATATATATTCAAGATTTAGTAAGTCTCATTCACTTATTTTCCAAATCAAATGGAATTCAATACTTCGTCAATTCCATTCACTCATTTTTCTAATCAGCTTGATTTCTATCGCAAATAAACTTATATTCTATATTTCATAAGCCTTATCCATTCATTTTACTAGATCATTTTCACATTTTTTGGATTTGACTCGAGCACTAATCCAATCAAAGTACCAAATTAGTGAATCGTCGATCTGACAGGATCAAGTGGTCTTTGAGACTTCATCAAGTCACTTGTAGATCGAAATTTTTTTTTTTAACCACTCATTTTTAAAAAAAATATCATTCTACTCATTTTCATTTCCAAAAAAATGGGGGGCAAAAGGGGGCTAAGCAATCTAATCCAATTTGAATTTCATATTGGCGGTTTTTAAGCCGGACCGGTCGATCCGATTTTGAAAACTATTTGATATTTTGTGAAGAAAGCTGAAGCTACAACAAGTTCAGGTCCTTTCGGATAAATTTGCAGAGTTATTGGGGACTCGAATTCTCTAGAAGCCAGCACACAGTACTCAAATTTTACCTTCTCTCTCAACACCTCTCCGCATTCCCTCCTCTCTCTGTAGACAAGATCATTCTTCTGTTCATCTCCTTAAAATACTCCTCCATTTCAGCAAAACTCACTCTTGAACAACCCTAATATACCCAAAATCTTCAATTTTAACTTACAAGTAAACCCTTTAAACCTCCAATCGTTTTGATAGCTTACTGTTAAAAAAAATCTCACGCACACATACTGAGGCAATAAGAACTATAAGGAGAATTTTATTTACGTTTCAATTAAGTAGAATTTTGTTGGGTTTTTACTATTGGGTAGAAAATGGCGGGGCGGAGAAGGATAGGAGAGGAAAGATTGTACTACAGTCCACCAGCGATGAGAAAGTACAACCAGCAACAGCAGCAGCAGCAGCAATTGAAGTCAAAGTCAAAATCTTCACCATTACCCGAAAGAAGAGGAATCGGGTCGGATTCAGACGATGGAGCTGCTCCATCAAAAACCAACTTGGATCGTTTCTTGGAGCACACCACCCCTGCTGTTGTAGCTCAGCGTTTCCCTAAGGTAAAATTTGCAAGTTTAATTAATCAAATATTTAAGGACAATGCGAAATTCTGTTCTTTTTGTGATTATTTTCTGAACTTTATTTTGTTTGCTGTCAATCAATTATTAAAGTTGAAATCTTGTCTCCAAAATACAATGTTGGTATTAATTGGGGAAGAATAGAAAATTAAAAATGTGTTCTTTTTTAAAGCAACTTGGACCAAAAATAGAAAAAGGGAAGTGACTTGGACAAAAGTAACAATTGGCTTAGACAATAAATTGGAACAAATAATTATGAATAATAGAATAGAATTAGTAAACTAAATAAGCGGCATCTTTTTTTATTTGAAACACCTCTGATCTTAGACCAATTATGTTCTTCAATATAATTACCAGTGAGTATTCTCTATAGCCTGTTTCCAGGCATGGATGCTGTAGAAGCTTGAGAACTCAAATCTTCCCTTCAGCCCAGTCTCGAAATAGGATGTGTCAAGACTGCAACTATTGCTTTTCGGTTCTTTCCCCAGCTAGTCGCCCTGTGTGGGACTGGTCAAGCTCGGGGACTTTTAAATGTTTTTACTTAAAAGTAATAGAAAACCGGTTATGCTCTTTATAAAGCCTTTTAAGTGGACTTCTTTTTTTTGTTAGTGTGATATTTGGGTCAATTTTTATTACATTTACAATTGACAAGTGAATGGAGGATTAGGTGGATACAAATGAGAGTTTTTTTTTTTTTTGTTTTTAGTTTTTAGTTTTATTGAGTATATTTTTGGTAATGGATGGGCTACGGTCTAGAGGAATTGAATTGATGCGGTAATCATTGAACTGATTACAGCTTTTGGGTAGGATCCAACTGTAATAGCAAGAAAAAGAAGAATAGGTGCAGGAATTATTTCTGTATTGATTGAATAAAAATTAAAACCAAAGGACGACATGACAAGAAGCCATTCGAGGGGGCCACACTCTCCTAATCTCAATTCACTAACTGAATTTTTATACCCCTTACTACCTATTCCTTATTCTATTTATAAGCCTATTGTAACCGTTTTTTGTCCACCTTAGCCTGCCTACTAACATAGTTTGTTGCTGCCCTCTCTTTCTCCCTTCTTCTTGATCCTTCTGGAATAGTTATACTTGATTGGGGTTCTATCACTTTTCTAAGTGGAAAAATCTTGTTTGCGATGATTGCATAATTTCGTTTTCACTAATTCTTCAAAGCCTGCAACATGTCCCACTGAAACACATGCACATACGCAGGCAATTCAAACACCTGTTGGGGGTGGGGGGAGAATGTTTTGATCAACGCAGTTATATCACGTGTTCGTGAACTATTATAACTCTCATTACCATCACAATATTCTCTTATTTAGGACTTTGCCAATAAAGCATTCAAGTAAAACAAAAGAAGCCTCATTATATGTGTGTCTAAAATCCTACATTTATAAGAGACTCTAACCAAGAACAATATGATAACAAGTGGAGTAGATTTTTCATTTATAAATTGATCAAACTTCATACTGTTGCCATGGACTAAAGCTTCTAAAACATCTAAATGTTTAAATAGATAACAAGATCAAGTAAATTAGACGTTATAATAGTGCTGCCCATTAGCACAACTGTATGAAGTATGAAATGCTTAGGTGTGTACTTAATCAAGAACTTGGTTTGATATATGTTTTGCATAGTTCATTCATTCTATGATTTTATACCTGTACTATATGATTTTAACTTGGTACATTCTGGACATCTGCAGTCACGTGTAAGGGGATGGAGAAATCGTGATAGTGTGCTCCACTCATACTTCATACTAGGTGATCTTTGGGACTCTTTCAGGGAATGGAGTGTATATGGAGCCGGAGTTCCGCTGGTTCTGAATGGGAATGATTCTGTTGTCCAATATTATGTGCCATACTTGTCTGCTATGCAACTATATGTAGATCCATCAAGCTCCTTGATGGAGATAAGGTGAGCTTTTCTTGGTACTTGCTTACATTGAAATGTATTTTATTTCTTCATAGATTGCTTGTAGTGCCTTTGCTGATTGTTTACTAATACCTTGCTAACTGAAATTATGAAAATGCTAGAGTTTTTGAGGTATTACACAAGGCATGTTCATCTACTTGATGATAACATTATATTTGTGATTGCATGTGTGTTCATGAACTTCGTACTTTTTTTTTAATGGGCTTAACATCCTGGCAGGGAACCTGCAGAGGTGAGCGATACTGATTCATCCCAGGAGACAAATAGCGATGACAGCAGTGAATGTGAAGCTGATAGAGGAGCTAATAATACTAGGGGCACTTGGAACCAGCTGAACACCACAGGCCAAGGATATAACGAAGTTCCAGTGAGAAACAAGCCTTTCACGGGATTGTCAGTGGATGAGGGCGATGTTAGCAACCCTCCTGGTCGTCTTATATTTGAGTACTTGGAGCGGGATCTTCCATTTTTCCGTGAACCATTAGCTGACAAGGCAAGTCCTGATATCTCCTAGAGCATTATACTAAAAGTCTTGCATTCCCTTTCTAATGACAAAAATCCATGCATTGTCTTGAATCGAGCAGATTTCTATCCTTGCATCTCGCTTTCCTGAGCTGAGAACATACCGAAGCTGTGATCTGACTCATGCAAGCTGGATTTCTATTGCTTGGTAAGCTTTTGTCGTCATCAAAGCAGAAATTTTGTAGCACTTAACTGTTAATTTATCTCATGCAAACTGAACGAGATGGTGTGTTTCATTATGCAGGTACCCCATATATAGGATACCCGTAGGCTCTACTCTGGAAAACATTGATGCCTGTTTTTTGACTTTCCATTCCCTTGCCACATCTGTTGGGAGTAAGTTTCTTTCTTCCCTGTTTTTGCTTCTCATTTGTGCTTGCTTCATGGTGGTTGTACATTGCATGTCATATCATTGTAAGATTCATAATCTGCCAATATCATAATTACAATCCACTGCTAGATGCAGGAAACGAGAAGCCACAATTCCATGTTTCAACGATGGATGAAGGGTTGCAGGATGCGGGCTTCTCCTCAAAGCTCTCACTACCAACTTTTGGACTCGCTTCATACAAGTTCAAAGTTTCTGATTGGAATGCCGATGGCGTCAATGAATGCCAGAAGTTCGATTCTCTCTTGCGAGGTGCTGACAACTGGCTTAGGCTGTTGAAGGTCAATCACCCCGACTACAGTTTTTTCGTGTCCCACAACTCGTACTGGATTTGAGATTACAACTTAAGAAAAGCTCGACAATTGTGGTACTAGAATAATCGGTGTCAGTTGATATTCAGCCTTTTTGTTTTGAGGCTCGATAATTATGACGAGCGGTAGATTGTGTATATAACTTTTTGAGTATTTAGAAGTTTACAGTTGAGTAATATTAACATTTGGAGGTTAGTGTGCATACAGTGTCTATTCCTTTAAAGAAAGGCTTGGTTAGTGGTGTATGACCATATGCCAAGGTTCTGTATTGCGAATTAACTTCTTGAAATGGCCTAAAAATCATCGATTAGTGCACCAAATTTGTGCAGCCCGTGGTCAACTTGCAGAGATGTATGCAACTTGTCAAATCTGGAAAGGAATATGCAAAAATGAACATTCTTGAATCATGAGAGGGAAATGCAGCTAATAGTATCAACTAGATTATGCTTATGGAAGATATCATAACGCATATCATAAGTTTTACGTACAATGGGAACCTCATAGTTTCTCTCGGCAGATTTGCAACACTAAAAGCTCAACTCTATCCTCTTAAGTCTTACCTTTCTTCTTAAATAACCTTCCATAACTAGAATGTAAACTAGATAAGATGCATTTTTCCAGCTTACAAGTTGTCGCCAAGAAAAGTAGAGAGCAGGAGTCCTTCCACAAATTCACATTCTCGAGCCTTCTCTAGAATACATTTTTCAGCTTATAAGTTGTCGCCAAGAAAAGTAGAGAGCAGGAGTCCTTGCACAAATTCACATTTTTGAGCCTTCTCCTCTTGGTCCTTTTCAGACAGTGGTAACTGTTGAACATTTCTGTTATTGAAATACCGACTAAATGTTAGTTATTGTCACAAGAATGCTTCAAAAATTAAAACAAGTTCCCGACAGCTTATGATAGCATTATCGTGCCACTGGTTCAAAGGTTTAAAAACACGCCAAGAAAAGAAAAAGAATTCAAAACAATTTGAAATGACACAATGAATTCCCAGAAACACATTACGTCCTGCGTATACATGAATATGTATGGTAAAAATTGCAGTGAAGACCTCCCCAGGGCTCAAAGATTTCATTCAAAAAAACTCTTCCTTGTCAGGAAATTCATAACCAGTGAAACATATTACATGCACAGAAATATCGGACAATTTTAAAAACCAATCATCAGGCAACAAGAATGGCTTCTCATAATTCAGAATGAATTAAAAACAGAAACCAAAGATTGGATAATACAAGCATTGCCCGATCTTGCTTTCCATACTGGATAAACAATCTTATTGAGCGGCCAGCAATAATAGAAAAGTCGTGGTTGGGCCAATCAAATCTTCTAATTTAGGTCCATTCAATTTATTTTATTATTTTCCTTTTTGGTGTGGTCGGAGTGTTCAAGGTCATTTGCAGATATTGTTTCTTGCAGTCCAGTTGCATCATTGCGTACCCTCCTAATGTCAATTGCTTAAAAAAAAATTTATAATAAATGATGCTGAATGACGTCTATAAAAAGAAGTACACGTTTAAATCATAGCAATCTTACCTTTCCACCAAATCTTCACCAGAGGATCTTGGTACTGAGAAAGCCCCAGTTGAAGAAAGAGATTGAATTTCAGTAGGTTCATCAACCACTGGTGGACTGTATATGAAGGAGGATAACAGTGAATCAGGTTCCGCAATCGAAGACATATACGAAGATCCCCCGAAGAGGGATTGTAGATTTCCTTCTCGTAACTCTCTTCGTAACATAGTGTGTGTAGAATTAGACCCACCCCTTCGGATTCTCCTCCTCCGCTGCACGTATTCTTCAGTCAAGGGAAACTAAAGAGCTATGAAAATAAGAAACGAAAATAATATGAAACTAAAGGATTGCAAGCAAGAATTAATGGTAGATTGCAGCAAAAATCAAGACATATTCATTAAGTTTCTTTAAAGGATATTTTTAGAAGACCTCCGTGCTGCCCAGTTATGTGACCAACCAAATCTGTCCCCACCCTTTTTGCACAAACAGGGCACACCTGCATACAGACATTTCATATGTACAATTCAGAAGAATAACTAGCAACAATGCTTAAAAATTCAATGTGTTTGGCCAGGAGCCAACTCCTGGAGCAACAATCAATTATAGAAAGATGTTACGCACAATATACAAATTCAATAGTAGTGCATACCAATTGAACCTTTTTTTAACAGCAAACAACAAATTATTCATTTAAATCATCTCAAACATCTGAAACAAATGAATGCATAAAATCATGCCAAACACTAGTGCCAGAACCAAAAGGAGCAACTTCATGGGCTACTCTATCACCCCACCCCCCATCCCACTTTTTCTATCTCAGGGAATGAAGCAACAAGAGCCACAGTTGAGTTCATGCATCAATTGACTTTTTGTCATCTATCAGCAGCAAAAATCCGAATTTCATGGTTTTGCTGAAAAAATATCGCATGTTCTGGCTGAGTTCCCAGTACTCGAGCCCCCATGTTAGGCAAGCTGTGTTGCACAAACACTTCAAATAGGATGGCGTGTCCATATCGGATACTGACACTTCTTGGACACATACCATGGTCATGTTTCTTTCTTCATCAAATATTATATATTTTTGACTCAAAATTATTATTTAATAACAAATTATTACTCAAAATTAAAAGATTTCAACAAGAAAAATTAATAACAAGTATAAAACTAAATTTGTAAGATATAAATGAAGAATTTTAAAGAATTTACGCGTCGTATCAGTACAATCTTTGAAAAATAGCGTGTCAGCATGTCCAATGCGTGTCCTTATTTGTGAATCATAGTAGACGAGGATAATATTTTGTTACATACTGCTGTCAGCCTGTCACTAGTCACAAGGCTCATTTTGAGTTGTGGGTCATAGGGCAGGCAGCTTTATCTAATCAAGGGTCATACTATCCAGGAGTGAAGAACCACTAGGGGTGGGGAGGAAATGAGTTGAAAGAGAAAAAGTTCTATCTCTGAATCCAGGCGGAGGGCAGAAGGGGAAGAAAAGGAAAATCACTTCAAGTGTTCCATACTTCATTCATGGCTTTAATCTTTCTTTTGTTTCTTCAAAAAACACTACAGTCAGAAGCTAGCAATTGCATTCAATGTCCAAGAGCAACGTTGTATATCAATGCCTCAAGCATGAAGCATAAGCAGGGTCTATAGCTAACAATAAAAAGAAATATAGCAACACATGATAGCAGACTTAATGTGGGGGCTTCACACGGTCAGTTGCTTCTTCGAATAGAAGGTACAAAACACAAAATTGCAAGATGAGGATTCTGTTATTAGTTAGTTAAGAAGAGTGCATCTACTAATCAAATGTAATGTCAGGCGAGTGAGGGTGTGAATGTGTGACATGTCATACTGTGTACTATGATCGTGTTTGTGTCGCACACTATATGACATTTCAAGAATATATCATTATAATAACATTATGGAATATGCATAAAAGGTTATAATGAAGTAATAATTGGTGAAACAACAAAATATCTTAATACTGATTCTGCTCAATTGAATCTAGAATTCTAAGCATTCCAGTTAGTATCAAAGCTCCACTCTTTTACTTTTAAATCTTTTATGCAACAATAGAATAAAAACACCATTAGTTCCAGTAATTAACTCGTGATGGCTGTCAATAAGACCATTCACACAGATACAATGATAAAGGGAAATGGAGAAATGGGTACCCCATTCTTGGCTTCGATGGCATGTTCGTCATCAATATGACAACAGAGACCAACAATATCAAATTCATCAGCGCAAAACGGACAAAGAAACTCGGGCCTCAGCTCTTCTTCCCCATCGTACTCCTCTCCACGATATGTGTCTGCAATACATGTAAATGCACAATCACGAAAAACCCTAATTTACACATCACATCACACTATCATGAAACCGCACACCATTTCAGTAAAAAATGAAGAAATTTGAGAAATTCTTTATGATTCATCAGTAAACTAGAAGCTCTAAGTTTACCATTTCCAAAAAAATAAAAAAAAAATAAAAAATAAAAAAAAGAAAACTATCAAACTTTTATTCTTAATCCTTCCACTCAAAGCCTGATTTCTATTATAAAAAACATAATTCAAACTTCTTCGTTTTCCAACTTTTTCTTAATTTTTTCTTCTTTTTTCAATCTCTTGCAACACCCCCTAATTTACCCCTTAGGTTGAAGGGAAACACGCTCGGAATTTCCTAAAAAGAATTCAGCTTAAAAGAAAACCTTAACCATCCAAAATTTTCTTCGTCTCACTAAAACACAAGAAACAAAAACCTTGAATAGAATTAGTACTATTCGTTAATTATCTAGCCTTACACAATTTCAACATCAAAATTAAAATCCCCAAGTTTCCCACAAAAATCTCTTCCTTTTCCTTATCATTTTTCGCACAAGTGACAAAAAACAGAAGAAAAAGATGAAAGCGTCTCAACTAGACAAGCCTGATCGAGATTGATATCGCCTGTAAGAAGAAAAATTAGAAAGTCGAGCCCATAAATCAGAGTCCATTTCTTCACACTTCTAATTTTCTCAATTTCTCACTCCTAATTCTCCAAAATCTCACACCTTCAGGTACTCAAACACACGTCTATATAAATATGGATGTATATGAAGGCTCCAGAAGCGGAAACTTCGTAGAAACGGAGAAACGGGTTGGGCGGGGGCGGGGGCGCGGGGGAAGAAGAGGGCACCCAACCAAATTTCTATGCGTGCTGTTGGAAATTTGGTCTTACGTACGATTTTTGTTTAAGTAAATAGGCACGGATTTGAAAGAAATTACGAAAGTACTATTACCAACCGTCTTGATCGCGGCTAAATTAAGTACAACTTGTGAGGCATAGTGTACTGTGCATGTGGTTGGTGTCAGGCTGTAAGCTAGAAAGGAAAATAATAACGGCATTTATGAGGTGCTGGCCCTTACCAATAGTCTAATATTGACATAAATCACATGTAATTATATTCTCTTTTCACTTTGAATATTCAAATCACCCTCGTATTCTCCTATATATTCGTCCCGACTCTCGATCCTCTTATAGTTCCTTCTCCTCTTTGTTTTTTACTCATTCGAGATAAATTTGAAAGGCTCCTAGAGACAATATATGAAATGGGACATTTTAGAACAGCCTTTCTAATTACGATTTTTTTTTCATTTTATCATTTAATAACTCATAATAAGATCTTGTTAAATAAATATTTGTAACTTGACAATAATTAATTAAAAGAATTTGATTCTTTTTATGAACTTTATGTCGATAAATTTGCGAATATGTTCGATCATCATTAGGACCATCATACTTGCGAACCATCAATGGACTGATTGAATTAATCAACCAAAGTTAGCTTCCATCGTAACAGAGGTAGATGCCAACATAATTCGGAGCTCGAAATACTCAAAGTAAGATAAGAAATAGATAGAACAATTTTCTCTTTATAAAGAAACACAAAATGGTGTCTTCATTTGTTTTTAACAGGTGGACATTCTTCATTGAGAACATCAGTTAAAGAAATCGCAAGTGAAATCAAATTAAAATGATTTATTACATTCTAATAGTGGTATATAATGTGATTTGCTTCACGTGCCAAAATACAGTAGGGTTAGTTGAACGGGATGTCAATGATCTTTTATCTTACTTACAAGTAGGTCACTAAACTTTGAAGTGATGCAATCAAGTCACTATACTTTAATTTTTAAACAATCAGGTCACTTCTTTTGAGTTTCATCAATGAGCTTTCCAGAATTAGTTGATATGTCCGTTAAAACTAACCACATGTCATTTAAAGTAGGATTAATTGCATCGGAGATTGCTAAACTTTCTATGTGCTTGCAAGTAGATTGTTTAAGCTTCAATTTATTACAACCAAGCTATTAAACTTAAAGATTTAACCATGTTGAGTTTATTGATGTGTATGTGCCCTATACAACAATTCAATTTCTTCATAACGGCAACGTATATAAGTAAATAAATGCAACATGAGATTGACAACACATCGAGTCTGAACCAAGTATAGACATTATTTATCTACCAATAAGAAACTATAAATAAATAATTGAAAAACAACTCTATGATTGGACCAAATTTCTTCATTGTTACCATAAATTTTCTTTGGTAATTTTCATTTTTCATGATAATATGCTATAACTAAAGGTTGATACAATATATTCAAAAAGACATAAGATCCACCAATGAGATGATCATGAGCCCATTGTAAAAAATGGAGGGACGAAACATATTCTCTACTCTTCTCCTATGTGCATCCCACCTCCCACAACTCTGAGTACAGAGCACCATTTTATAGAAAGAACGTAAATGTCTTCCACTCAATAGCTTATATAGAGAGCAGTAGCTTTAGGAAAATTAAGAATTCATCATCATCTTTGAAACCAATAATGGTTGTATAAAGAACTATCCTTAGCAGATGTTAGAATAGTTTCTTCGAACAATTTAATATAATTTTTTACATAAACCGTCCGTTTAGATTATTATTGCTAATTTTCAAAAGGTTAATGACAAGATTATAAAAAATAAAGGTTAACGATGAGACTGAAAAGAGCACAAAGGTTGAGGACCAATGTCGTAATTTACCTTAATTATTAGTAATCAATAATTTATTCTAAGAAATTTTGGTTGCGTGACAGAGCAGTCACAGGATTGAAGTGATTGGTTCATGGTGTACTTGGCACGTTGGAAACGGCGTCATTCTGGAAAAGAATGTGAGTAAAGGTGACGACGTCGTTTTACCAGCTGGAAATTGGATGTCATTTTAGATTTTTTTTAAAAAAAGTTGAACTCCAACCTTAAGGGCCTCTACCGCCTCGTCCCTAGAGTTTTGTGAGGGACGTAAATCACGGGATGTGTTCCAGCAGGCCAGAGAATAAGAGCTGCCTGTACATTGTGCCTACAAGGAGTCAAATTTCATATCTCAGGAATCGAACCCCCACACTGTGTCTGCAGCAAGACATGAGATAACCTCACTACACTATTAGACTATACCCCGGGGGTCGTCATTTTAGATTCTTACATTCAGCATTCTCTACACCCACACCGACATATTAATTTGACATTTGACTTGAAATATTTTTTTGTAGTTAGTTATTATTGTTTTGGAAATGTTGTATATCAAATAATTTATTTTTAAACATGAATTTTTTTTATTGCTTGAAAAATTTCTTGAGAAAAGCACGATTCTATTCCATTTAATAAAAATTGCTCAAATGCGTAAGCAATAGCGAAATTTAATTTATCGTAAAGGAAGGTTTTGTCATTTGGATTACTAAAAATTTAATCTATTTTTGTATGTAGTTAGTTCTAACACAAATAGTATTTAAACTAAAACATTGAGATAATTACAAATTTACAAGAGTATATCTCGAAGTTATGTTCTTATGTTTCCACACAATAGGCACGAACTTTTTAAGTATTGGGGAGATTCGATTTATCCTAAGGAAATCATATATAGTTATTGAATTTAGATTATCGAAATCTTAACTATTATTTCCTCTGTTGTTCGTATAATGTATCTGTAGTAAAAATTTAAATATCGATGGTAGAAACGGTTATCATCCTTTAAATTTGCATTCCTAGTTCAATTCTTAATTCAATGTAGTTTCTAGTAGTTGCCATGATCTAGATTTATTTTAAGAGAGATGCTATAAGTACAGGAAAAATCAACAAAGAAGTTACAAAAAATACATTTGGTGGGTTTTTATTGGAAGATAAAAAATAAAAAATAGGGTGCTGTCGTATTCTGTCCAAAAAGCATGTACTTGAGACTTAAACCTCTTCTTAAACATTAAGATATATAACACGAGTACATCTTGAAGTTATCTTCTCACAAAATGCAAATTCTAAAATTCAAAATCTCACTACCCCAAACTCCGACCTATGGACAAAAAGTGGGTTCTCTAAAGACTTGACAATAAACAAGATTGCTCATGCTTCAAGTAATATCTTAATGCCTCAATACAATAACCCGAAAATCAATTGAAATTGCGGGTCGAGGTGACGAGTGTATAACTTGCCTTCCCCATCAAGGTTCCTGATTCTAAATGATGTTTGCCTTATCTCGATCGAGGTTAAGTAAGGCCATCATCCATCTCGACTAAACTATGTGAGGTTCGTGACATGTTAGCATGATTCTCTTTACCGTTTAAACTTGCCCCCACTCCAAAAAATAAAAATAAAATAAAATAAGTACTACAATTTTATTTATCGAAATTATTGTTCAAAATCGCTCAATCCCACTCGACATATTTTTGTTAATAGTTTTGCTACACTTACATCGACGTTGTGATTGACATTTTATGATGCACCACATAGTTTTGCTATTGATTTTAACTCTTAAAAAAATAAATGTCATCGATATTTACACATCGTGGAATATAAACCACAGTGTACAAATGAATATACAAGTAGGTTAATTCTCGTGTCAATTCTCCCCTTCATTCCTAAATCGATAAGCCAATTTACATAAAATGTCGAACTTATAAATTTATTTACACATATCTCTCTTATTTTGATCTTGTTTGAGTCTCATTATCTAAAAACTCATTTTAAATTATATATTTTCCTAATAAAATATTTTGTATGTAAACTCAATATTTTTCTAACTTTTTAACATAAATTTTTTCAAGAATTCATTATTATAAAATTTATTTTCAAAAAATCAATGGGAATCAAACAAGTTATAAACTTATCTAATGACTTGTCACTCGGTTGTCTTTAGGTGGTAAAAATTGGATTAGGTTGGGATCGTCCTAAATCAGGGCGGCCTACTCGTGAAGAGTCAAGGCCCGACACTTTTTTAATCAACTAATTCATTCTAGTACCATGCAAACGTAGCCAAATGTAAGGTTTACATCCCAAGTGCTGCTGCCGCCTGGGAATATTCTTTTCAGTCTCAACACTTTTTCAATCAACTCAACAATTCCCCACTTCCGCAAGTAGGAAAATTCTTGATGTACATTATGGACACGCACATCTCCCACAAGTAATATACCACTGTGGAAAGCAAAATTTATCTGCCTCGTGTCATATCTGACTATTTATCTACCTATGTTTTCAAGTTTTAGTATTCCCATAAATGTCTCAAATAGCACCTATTCGACAACCATCAAAATAAATTTTTTTTCTCAAACTCATTTTTATTCACACATTTTCACAATAAAATATTTTATTTTTTTCCATAAATTCTCCAAAAAATCATTATTTAAAACTGATTTTCCACAAAAAGATATATTTTTAATAGTTGTCAAATAAGGGCTTTACTCCAACCCAAGTACAAAAATGATCTGAGTATCCCCAGAGACATTTTATTTATAAAAAGCATTGTTCGAATATGGCACAATGTTGATCAGGATGATGGTTTAATTGCTGACTGCTGACTTGGTTGAATCTGAAATTGATCAAAGGAGTGTACTTAATATGAATTCTCTGATTTGGCTTAAAATAAAAACACGTTTTCTAATATGTAATTGGGTTGTAGATTTTTTAGTGTTAATCTATAAATCTAGTGTGTTCTTGTTCATACTGTTCTTGAGTGAATAATTGGTGTTCGAGAGAGGAATTCGTAATCTTGAGCGACTTTTGAGTTTGGTTCCCTAAAGTTGTATTCTTGGACAATTTGGCTCCGATTTATTGCAGTGGTTTTCTTCCGATTACAGAATCTCAAAAGGGGATTAGGGGCTTGGCTTTGAA